AAACAAAACATTACTCCATAAAACATTACTGTTAATTTTGTTATTAATAAGATACTCAAGTGAACAACAAGCACAACTCTACTGGTGCTTTTGTTAATATCAGTATTAGAAACCACACAGCAATGTAACTTACAAAAGTGAACAACAGCATCTCTACTCCAAGGAAATATTTTTAAAAAAACATACCTGAATAAATGAAATAGCACTCTAGATGAATTCACTAATGCTGTTTCAGTAACCCACTGAATGCCAAATATTTCCACTGTATCCTCTTCAAAATTAGTTGGTAAAGGATCAAGATTCAAAATTAATCTGAAATGAAAACTATGATTAAATCTCATGAAAAGTATACTAAGTCCCATACTATAACATGTCTTTTTTAACATTATAGGAACCCTTATTATACACGACATGCCAGTGATATTATAAAGTCAGGATATGCCTTGGTACCATACATACTGTAAAGGCATATGAAAGCTAGAACTATATTAAAAATCCAGTCCTGTATACTAAGAAAAAGGTATAACTAAAGAGCAATGTAACTTATGTGTAAAACACAAAAAGAAGTCTAAGGAACATACTTTGGTGTGTGTTGAATAGTGGCCTTCAGATGTAGAATTCATCCTTTGAGGGGACATTTAACTTTCAAAACAGCTAAAAGATATTCTGAGCCCTGTCTGGAGAACAGCATAATAAATCTGGGTAATCTCTTCTTAGGTCTCAAACAAAGTGCAACTATAAAAACCACGAAAATTACTTCCTTTCTGACTGAAATTGCCTCAGAAGGCATTCCCAAAAAATTTCAATAACAGCAGTTTTACGACAATGTGTGTATAACTAACTGCCCAAGGCAAGAACTTTCAGAAATAACATTCCTGTGAACTTACACAATGTGGTGCATTTATTAGAAAACAATGTTTTTTAAAATAAGACTTCTATATGTAACAATACACAGACTTAGAAGGAACTGGGGCAACAAAAGATGTCCACGTCTTCCTTAGAATTATTAGGAAGCTCCAAAATATTATGCCATGTTTTAGGAGGAAACATCATTTCAAAAAGCCCAGGAAGTTCAGGATTCATTTTAAATAAAAGGAAAATTAAAACCCAGCTCCATTCCTATGCCCAACGGAGGCAGCTGTGAAGTAAGAGAACATCAGGTAGCAAGAACATTCTCCTTCATATCCAAAATCTTTCAGGTATTCGCTGAACCAGAAAGCCAACAGCAGAACTAATAGCTTGCATCTGTCTGAGATACCAAGCCCATTTTACAAAAAGATGGTTTGAACATAAAAGTTTAGCTGCCTGAAATCTTATTTAAAACATTCCTGCCGAAACCGGTTTGGCTCAGTGGATAGAGCGTTGGCCTGCGGACTGAAAGGTCCCAGGTTCGATTCCGGTCAAGGGCGTAGGAATGGATGTGAAAGAACTCTGGGAAGCATAATGCATGACATGCGAATGAAGCATGTATTCATGCCATCAAAAATCTGTTCAGTGCAATTTCTATTGGCTAGAGTCATTATTGCAGGATAGAGTCTAGGGGATATAGGGCTGGGGTACTGCCTGCCCTAGTGGGGATTATAATTTGATAGGATGGAGATAGGCCCTAAACAAACAAGTCAGGCACAACTAGCACAGTGTTAGAAAGCGACTACAACAATACACTCACAATAACCACAACATACTGGCATGTGTGGAATCATCTTATATATTTAAAAAAAAAAAAAAATAAAATAAAACATTCCTAACAAACGAATGAAAAAGCTGATGAGGGTGAAACCGCCTCCGATTTGTTACCTACCGCTTAAGGGCTCCACTGGCAAGGTAGGACTCTCCAGAAAAATGTTTCCCTCCTCCTCTGTTGTCAAAAGCGCAAGAAAAGCAAGGGGGTTTGCACCATTCGGTTCCCAGCTCCAGTTCCAAGCTGTCGGTCAGGTAGGTCGACGTGGCAGAACAGTTATCCATTGCTTACTTCATGTCCTGAAACATGGGAGGTTCATTGTAATGATCATCGAGGGCTCCAAAGAGGTTGCGAGGAGATTCCTGGAGGTGGGGCGGGTGACGTCAGGAAGTCCCCCAAACGCTCCCCTCCCCGGCACAAAGAAAACCGAGAAGCCCCGTTCCCAACAACTCTCCCCACCGCCTCCCCAAGACCAAGGTTGTCGTCGGGACGTTCGCAGAAAGCACCCACGACGGGCTGTATAGGAACTGAAAACCCTGCCGGCCTGACCCTGCCGCAGCCCGGGACAGGGTCCAGAGCAGAGACTTGCTGGCGGGGCGGATGCAGCTCCACCTCCCGAGCCCGCCGGACCCGCACCTTCACCACGTTATTAAACCGCCCAGCGCCAGGGGCCCCGCAGGGTCGTGGGGAAGCTCCTCTGCAGATTCGCGTGGGGATCCGGAGGCCCCGCGCCAACCCCCCTCCTCCCGGCCGCGGAGCAGGTCTTCCCCCGAATCGACACGGAGGAGCCTGGCGAGAGGAGCCACAGTCCTGCGCACCGGGGCACCCCCTCTCCGGTGCTCGTCGTACCTACTCACACTTCCACTCCCCGAGATCCGCCCCGGCG